GATGTCCACGAGGGCTTATATAGCTTGCACAAGCCGCCAAATTGCATTCCTATTGAGCTTTCGCACTCCCTGGGCAGAAGGCAGCCACCCAGAAACATAAGTTTGTTATAATTAGTGTATATACTCTATGTGAGGCCCATCTTCTGGATCTTCTGTAGACTGTTTTCTTCATTGGAACGACGTGGATTTTGCCGGTCCACTGCATCAGCACTGGGAAACATGCTGCTGACAGATGCTCCTGACAGAAGAGCAGGAACGACCATAAACATAAACTGCCTGGCAAATTAGAAAAAGCCCGGCCTTTGCACTACTGACGTTCATACAGAAGATATTCCCAGATTTGCTTGGGGCACAAGGAAGAACACAAACATGTCTTCTATTTTAACGTGCTTGGCAACATTTGCTATTGAAAATGCATTTGAGACTCTGCCTCCTTTTGGGCTTGAGCTTCAGGAAGGGCTAAACAGATGAAGGTATTTTACCGGTTGTTCCGGGATATGGAGGTCTCCTCGGGATGCAGTTTCCAACTGAGGCCAACGAAGGGCTTTGATCGGAGTTTTTGCCGAGGGCTCAGTTCTTTGCATGTCCGTCAGGCTGAAAGAGGCAAATGGATGCCAACGGTTTGAAGGTGGTTGCTGGGTTCCCCAGCTACCTTTGTATCTTGATGTCGACTAATCATGCTAACAGAGTCAGGCCAGTAAAAACACAATCATTATGCATTTAGGTGAATAGGAATAGGGCTGAAGAAGGTCAGAACACAAGATATAAAACGACCCCGGAAGTGGCTTTGATTAGCAGGACTGCGGAATCCTGCAAATTTCTTTGATGGTTCACTTTGTGCCATGAACTTTTTTATGATCAGAGGAATCCTGAGAATGGCACCCGCACACCAGAAGCCAGGCTTCTCGTGTATGCTGTGGCTAGTGCTGTGGCTTGCTTCACAGAGCAAATCACCAGGATCGCTCTCTATTTGTGACATTGTGCTGTGCACTACCTCCATCACTTCGAAAGGTCTTGACGGTTTGAGATTTCAATTCAGGCGCGCCTTCAAGCGCATCAGCCAACCTGCGCATGCAGAGCTGGAGGGCAATATTTCATAGATCTATGCGCCCCCCTGTCATAACAAGAAAGACACCACCGCTTTGCAGCTCACTTCGTGTCTTTGGGGATTGGGAAGGGTGATCCGTTTATTCTGAAATTGAATGGCCACCAAACGAGACTCCGGGCTCGCGTCGTGCCCAGGTGTTTCGCCCAGGCTTGGATGTATCGGAGTGAAAACCCTCCAGATTCGGACATCAGAACATATCTCAAGAGAGGGCTTTGATGTTCTTTCTTAAGAGTGAGTTTCTTAAGGTCTTGTGCTCTGCTTGATGGGCTGGCAAGAATAATTAACATCCCATAGATCATTCATTCATATGTATGGGATATATAAAGATACAATACACATGAATATTTATACGTATAGACACCTAGAGAACTTAGTGGCCTCTACTTTAGACTTTAGACCACAAACTATTGCCTTTTCCCATCAAAACACGGGTCAAATGAATCACTATCGGTCACTATCATGCAGTTTCAGATGATCAGGGACAATTACATGTGGCATGAAACTACAAGCAATAGACTCCCCTACAACCTTGGGCGCCTTGGCCCAAATAGACTTTGAGTTTCTGTTGAGGACGCCAGATGTGGCACCCTTTGCAGTTGAGCCCGGCAGGGGCCCCTGGAATTCCATCGCGCGGCTGGCAGTTGGCAGTGATGGCAACGAGACTTCGCTGTTGATGGGAATTCGCTGCAACATTTCTTAAAGATAGCCCTCCCTGCATGCCAAGGATTTAACAAGACTCAATTGTGAAACTTGATTCCTGAAGCTTGAAGACCTCTTCCAACATGTTGAACTCCTCATGATCCAACCACATTATATATTACTTCATATGACTTCCACGTCTCACACCCTCCTTCTGGGTGCTATTCGACGTGTTTTCTGGACAGCTCGCCTTCGAGGCTTGCTGCCACCTCCGCGTTGCCGGCCACTGAAGCCGTTGGAGGCGATGCGAGAGGAGACGGGCTCGTGCAAATCTCAAAGCGCTCCAACCCACAACACGAGCTGGTCTCCAAGCCTCCGAGTAGGACAAATACTGTTTACCAATGGCAATCAAGGTCTGAAGATGGTTTGAACTGGGTCACAGAAGAGGTGCCCCTTTTGACCAAGCATGGATCCCTTTTGGCACCTTCCATTTTGCAAAAAAGCAGTCGGGATTCGTCTGAGGAGCTCGAGACGCAAGTTGAGGCGCACTGCGGGGGTTGGAGCTGAACTGAGAAGCTGGATGTTCAAGTTGAACTGTTCAAGAGAAGTGGCGTTCAGATCAACACAATTTAATGTGCATGCATGAATGTGTTTGGTGGATTTTTGTTTGTATGACACTCAGTTGATCAATTTGATGAAACTTGCATGTCTAGAGTCTACATGAGTCTACATGCTTTGTGTCTCTTGCCCCGTGCTACGAAAAATGTGGTGCTCCGGTGGCGATCAGGCCCCAAAGGCCCACACATGCAGCTACGGGCTCATTGCCTTGAAAAGGTTTCGGCTGAAATGCAGCTCTTTTTCTGGCCCAGCGCCATCCCCTTGGTTGGCAAGGCTCCGAGCATCATCCTGGAGATTGGGGGCAGTGGGGCCAAGGCGAGTTGGATAGAGTTCAAGAACGGCCAAAGAACCTTTCATGCTCTTAGGTTGGAGGTCATCGCCCTTAGATTCGAGGCCATTGCTCTTAGGTTGGAGGCCATCGCTAGCAGGTTAGAGGCCATCGCTAGTAGGTTGGAGGCCATCCCTCTTAGGTTGGAGGCCATCGCTAGTAGGTTGGAGGCCATCCCTCTTAGATTAAAAAAAGGCCATCGCTAGTAGGTTTCCTATCCACTTTCCTTTTTCGCTATTAATTAGTCACTAGTGAAGTTTCCCTAATGTTCTTGCTCCCCGCCTCCGACACCTCGCATCACATCATGCCGATAGAGCCGCCCCACTCACATGTCCTTACACACTTGGAAGCATTCGGTCTCCAATGCCACAAAAAAAAGAGGCTGAGTAGCGTAAGTCATTGAACTCGATCCAAATTACATCAACCATTCACATCTTATGTTTTTTTCCATGATTTGAGGCTCTCGGAGCAGGTGGTTCGCGCAAGCCACATCTAATTCACATCAAACAATATCAACAATCCCAGGGGATCAACAATATCAAAGTAATTCAATTCATCCTTTGTCATCGCCCGGTCGGGGCTTCCCATCGGATCCGTTGGCGTCGGCCCCGCCCCAGGATTTGCCGGCCGAGCGTCGACTCTGGGGGCCGATCACCTTGGGGTGCGGTCGAGGGCACCGGCGGATGACACATTGGCAAAACGGATGTGATCGACCCCTTTAACACGCCTTATACATCCTTATGCTAGTATGATTATATCATTATATCTAGATATTAGATATGATTAGATCACAAACACACACATATATATATATATATGATAGTTCACAAGTTATGTGTGTGTGTTTGCCATGCAGTACACTTACACAGCGCATATCAGAGCATAGTGACTAGTGGATCTAGTAGTTTTGTTTTAGTCGTTTGTGAATGTTCAACATCTTCAATGAAATCGCAATGAGAAATCGAGACCCATTCTAGATTTGGCTTTGGATGATTTGGAAGTCCCCCAAGAACATGGAGATTTTCTACCACAGAATCATGTCGAATGGACGACAGACAGATGATCAAACCAAGTTTGATGGTTGCCTGGTCCCTTATGCAAAGGCATGCCCATTTTCATGTGCGGTGGTCGAAACGTTAGGGACTTTAGGGGATGTGAGCTGATCATTGCTGCTTCAATGCGCGAAGATGCACCCTCAGTGGGTGAAGTGAAATGGTGCAACAGGCTCCATGGCCATTAAACGGTGATGTGTTTGGCCGTCAGGAACGATCCCTACATCATAGGCAGGCGTCACCAGAAGGAGTTCTTGTACCTTGGCCGGAGATTTTGCCAGGGCTCCACCAACCTTGGAACATTTGTAGAACCTTCAACGCCCATGTCACTGGCAGCTGTGAAAATCCGTGAAGAAACACACGTGTCCTAGAAATGGATGCCCTGCGCTTGATCGAGGCAGAGGACAGTTCGGGAAGAGTGCTTGGATTTCATCAGCCGCCCGGCGCCCAGAAATGGGTCTCATGATGTCACATGGCGAGGTCGAGCAAAAAAGCGTCTACCAAGTCGTGCTGCACGTGCTGACCCGACCAACTGGTGGCCTCAAGCATCCACGAACGAATGGAGTTGGTCTATTTTGCATCTACTATTGTGCTAGGAGAATGGCCGAGTGTGTAAATCTGTAAGTCACATGGCACGTGAAGAGCAGTGAGTAAAGCCAGCCTGTGGTTCTTGAAGTTCTTGAAAGAATTGAGAGTTATGTGTTTCGTGTGAGTTTTCTATTCCTCCGCCACATTGAAAGTGTCAGCTTTGAATTCTTGGCTTGACTCAGACATTGGCAAGCGCTAGAACCCAAGGAGATCACTTCGGAATTGCGTATCGAAACAAGACCTTCATTCTGCTTGCGCTCTCACAGCATCTCTGGCATGTTGGGACCACGCGAAGAGACAACGTGCTATGGAAGCCAATCGAACCTGTATTGGAGCGTTTTGACCACAGCATTTGCCTTGGAGCACAGGTCTTTAAAACTTTCAAGTCACTTTGAATTACTTTTTCAGTTGTCCGTTGTCCGTTGCCCACCTATTCGTTGTTCCTTCTGTGAGGAATCGCATTTCGCTGGATTTAGGGAAGGTCTTGGGCATCAGGAGGGGGCTTTGCTGTGATTGGGGGAAATGATCAAAATTCTTCAGCTCATGGCATGTGAAAGAAGGCAAAGGATGGCACAGGTGAGCAATCGGATCTGAGACCCCAATAGACCTGCATCATTCACATGACCTTTGGCTCAAGTGCGTCTTCCAACGGCCCGGGGTCTTCATCATGATCTCTGTGCCACAGCACCTCGCACCGTGCGCCCCGCAGCACACACGGCCAAGTCCGTCTTCCACTCGCTCCACTCCCCGAGTGACCGACACGCATCGCGCCGCCGGTGGTGCCGTGGCCACGTGGACCACGAGCCGCGCGAGCCGCTGGGTCCGGTCGCGAACCGGACGGCGTGTCGAGATTGTGGACGTGGAGGTCATGGAGACTCCGGAGGTGAAAGCTGGGCTCAAGGTGGTCGAAGATATCTTGAAGTTGGTGGACAGCACTGGGGTGCCGTTGCGAAACCAGACCATGGAGCATCTGGGACAAAAACTGAAGCATTACTGGCATAACTGAATCATTTTTGCATAGCTCTCTATATATTATACGTCCGTTGTATTCATGATTTTCTGGTGTGCGTGTGTGGGGGGGTTCTTTTTTATGTTCTCCTTCCCACAGAGAAGAGAAGCCTCCAAACAATGATCAACATCACAGACAATTCTTCTGTTCGGACTCTTCTGTTCAGCCCCCCTCCTGTGTCCCCACGTTCAAGCCAAGCGCCTTAAACAAAACACCTCCCATCCTCAGGTACAAGGCCGAGCCCATGCGGTCTCCCCTGGCCAGCTGTGGCATCGAAGCCTTGGGATCTGGGCCAAAGGCCATAGAGCTCTTGGTGAAGGGCCTTGAAAGCCGGGTGGACCAAGATTCCGCGGAGGTGGCGGCTGCGGTGCTTTGTTTGATGCTAGGTGCGCATGCCAGCCACACGAAAGAAGCGCCGTTACAACATGTCAATCCCAGGATTTTGGACTTCACTAAACGGACTTAAACTCAACCTATATGTCCAGTCCGGAAGCGAAGACATGAAGACATGGTACTCACGATTTGTATTCAAGATTCTTCAGTCGCCCCTTGCTTAATGCTATCTTAATATGATAGCACGAGCGTGTTGCTATAATCCTGCAGAGAGGATGATCCTACTCCGTCTTCCCATGAACAGGGTGCTCACAATATCCGAACCTTTTGGAACGTTGTGGGTAGAACCCCCTACCATTTTGAAAAGCATCCTTCGACTCATTCGACTTTTTCACTGGATCAGCTTCAATCCACCGCGCGCAGGTGGTCTGGATGAGGCGCATAATCTCATCACACCACATACCTGGGCTGCTCCCACGACCTTCGCTGGCCCACCGAAGCTGCAGAGTACCATGTCACGGGATGCGAAGTACTGCCATGTGATTGTTCACCGGATGGAGGGCGAGAATCTGGGAGAGTTTGGATCAGGCTTTAACAACAGTGGTTATTGGATGGGCCAGGCCTTCTACTTCTCGTCGGGAACCTCTGAACATCCCATTTTTCCAGCACTCAGACGAGATGCGGAGGAGTTCGCTGAGGATGCGTCGGACGCACGGCGTCTCCTCAGAAACATGGGGCCTAAATGGGAGCCCAAGCTCTTCAACAACTTCTGTGAGGACGCCCTGTTGCACGAAGATCCAGAATTGATGGAGTTTTGCAAGAAGGTCCAGACTCGAGAGCTACAACTCCTTTATGAGCACATCATGACTCAGAATTCCGAAAAAGAGATGCTCACCTTGTAAGAACTTGGGCGAATGTCCAAGTCAAGAGCACATCTTGCCCGCTGGCTCAATGTTTGAAAACAGAGCCCCGGCCCTGTTGGGCCCTTGCTGACATTTGGATGTTGGGATCTTATATACATGGTATGGGATGACGGTCCGTTGTCATTTTGTTGTTCTACTTGTGACCCCGTTGTTTGGCCTTCCACTCGCACGACTATCATACAAAATCCAGTTCTTCTATGGAGCTCAATGAGCATCATCCTCCATTGCAGCCCCTTGTTGTGCCATGACCCTTGGGGGTTCGATTGTTCGCCGCCACTTGCCCGTCCTCAACGTTTTATCACATGCGAAAAGCTTTTCTCCACTCCTTTTCAAACAAATTAAAGGCCTAGTGAACCATTGTTGTTCAACGTTGCATTTAAAAAAACAACATCTAAGAACACCCTCTATATTTCCATGTTTGATCATGTTCGTGAGCATTATATATAAGTGCTTTCTTTTCTATATAGTGTAATGATTTGCCTTGTTCTTGACCAGTGCTTTTCATTCACTGGTACGAAAAAGGGCTCCTTTTGCGACCTCCTCCTGCAGCACCCAGGAGCCTCCAAAAGGACGAAGCTTTTCCCTTGCGACCCGGGCACCGAATCCTTTTGGGAGCTGCAGGGAGAGCTCAGAGACGCCAAGACTCGTGGGCTGGGGGAGCAAAACATCGAGAAGATATATATATATATAATATATATATATATATATCTATATCTATATGAATCAGAAGAGGTCCTTTCCCTGTCAATCATGCATGTGTTCGGCACCCATGGCTTAGTACAGTTTAGTTGTGAGGCGTGCTCGCTTGGGAGGTCTCTGTGATGGAAGGGCGTGGTCAGGTGTGGGGATTTTTGACTTCGCTGTAGGCAAGATCAAGCTCAATCACACCACCATGTTAGATGTTTTTAGGTCCTTGTGATGGTCCTTGACCTCATGCAGGATTTTAAAAAAAAGACTTCAAACTTCTCCCCATGAAAGAGTCATGGGCCCATGGCCCGTCCAACCCAGGCTGCCCAGGCGGAAGATGCTTCGCAAGCCTGCCGTTCGGTGTCTGGCATCCCAGAAAACACGGAAGGACCAAGCTGGATCCAAAGCATGGATCCAGGCCAAAAAGCGGGGAAAAAAGACTAGTGGATGGTGAAGAAGTAGACCACGTTTTTCAACTCTAGGATGTTCACAGGTAGAAGTTACAGTAGAATGGTTTGACCCGCTGCCACTTCAACGAGCTTGTTGCAAACGATAGGAGCAACCCGGTATAGAATCTATTTTAATATATAGTGGATTGAGAGTAGATGGCGCAAACCCCAAAAGTTGGTTTGTATGGACCCCCATCTAATGAAAGACATCTTGAGGTGCCAGTGCCATTTGCTTTGAAACCACTGCACTGTATATAAAATATTCATATCCCATATTCATGGTCTCCGAGCAGCACTCCCAGACTGTGGCTAACTGGCCCGACCCAAGCAGTGACTGACGTGTGGTTTTCCCCTGCTGCAAATCACAGCCTGACCACTGACACTGGAACACCGTCAAAATTCCTCTGGTGGTTCTCAGGCTTTCTTGGCATTTCAGCCTTGCTGTAGTGGCCCTAGTCTGTCAAGAAGCAAGAGAAGAGAAAAACACATCCTTTCGTTGCCAGCGGTGCCGAGCACTGAATATGGCTCACCTGTTTGGGTGATTTCTGCGTTGGGGTTCCTCACCCGAAAGGATTGGCCAGTGTCCTGCCATTGTCTCGTAGGGCAGACCACTCAGTGGTTTTTGAGCGGTGTAGGTTTGAAGCGGCCTCTAGCTCGAGGAGCTCGAAGTATGTCCGGCAGTTGCAGTCTTTCTGGCACTGGGACATATGAGCAAGTCGGCGCTCGGGGCCTAAGGATCGGTCGCACCTGAACGAAGCCAAGTAGGGCCTATAGTAGATAGCAACCAGGGCTGGTGGACAAACTGCTGGCTATGTCTATTTTGGGTTCTTTTAAGAGTGATGTCCATTTGTTACTTGTTCCCTCATGAGATGTAGCTGTCGGAATATGTGCTCCAGCCCTTGGATTCACTTTTGGCGCGTGAAATGTGCGATGCCAGAAGCTCTGCTAATGTTCAGCGTTCATTCAATGTCATCAGAAGCACCGCAGGCCTGCATCCTGGGTTCAGATGATGCACCTCGACCAGGGACCAGTTCTGGGTATGTTCATTGCCTGTGAAACTGCTGGAATCCACGGAACGACTCCTGCGTGCTGGTCAATGTGCTAAGACTGGCCAGAAAAGTTGGCCGAAAAAAACGGTGTGCAGAAAATTCCAGTTTGGTGAGGACAGAGCCCAGTTGATTCTGTGAGATGAATTTTTGAGATGTACAGCCTCAAATGAAAGGATGTACTGCCAGTCCCGCACAGCTGTCGGCAGCCGAGTGGCTCCGTTGTTGGAAAACCATGGAATCTTCCCCGGTCGTTAACCTAGTCTTGGAGTCTTGGATCTGAGCCAGCGTACTTTTGGCTCCCAGCATGGGTTGGAAGCCTCTTCGCGCAGAGAGTGCTCGCACATGGCCTGTTGCACTGGGAGTTGCCTTGTGGTTTCAAGGTGTGGGCGGTTCTTCGTATCACTTCTACCGAGCTTGCAGGGGGCTGTATGTAGATTCCCGGAGCTCTTGCCGCCAGTTATGGTGCCAACGGCAGAAGCGTCCGCTGGTGCTTCTGCCGTCACTTTTGCTAGCAGGTGACTTGGACTTGGACAATATTATATTAATTTATACTATGTTTAAGGGCGGCTTGCGTGCCAAGCCAAGCCTTCCAACAGTGCCAGGTCTGACCTGGGTGGCAATGGACTCGAGGCCATGGCTCAGACCAGCGCTGTGGTCACACGGGTCGATGCAGATCTTAGGTTTGGAAACTCAACAGGCATTCCCCGGCCCAGAGGTGGTGACTTGAAATAGAGGTTGTATCATTATTGTGAATTCGCTTGGTTTTCATCATATGTGTTTATCTCATAATCCCCCTCCAGTTTTTTGCATTCGGGACGATTCGGGACGCATGTGGACGTGGTTGTCGATCTAAAGGTCCTAGTCAGCAGTGTGTATGACGATGACCCGGAACATATCAAAATCTCATTTGGCGAAAGTTTTTTCTCGAGTTGGCGAAAGTAATTTTTTTTGGCGAAAGATCTGGCGAAAGATTAAATATGTACTTTTGTATGAATGTTCATTTGCTTTCTGAACAGCTGGTGGCAGTGACTCAGAAGCTAGATAAGCTGTGGAAGTTAGATAACCTGCTGCTGCTGCGGCTGCTACTACTACTACTACTACTACTACTCTACTACGACTACCACTACCACTACCACTACCACCACCACGACCACGACCACGACCACGACCACGACCACTACCACTACCACTACCACTACCACGACCACCACCACGACCACGACCACGACCACGACCACGACCACTACCACTACCACTACCACTACCACTACTACTACCACTACCACTACTACTACTACTATTCCTGCTCCTGCTTTGGGGGGTGGCTTTGCCACAAAACTCTACCCCGCAAAAGGCGAAAGTTTGGCGAAAGTTCAGCTCAAGATTGGCGAAAGTTCACCCTGCCACATCTGACCCCCAGCCCATTATGAGTAAGTTTGAGTGACCGGCTACTACAGTGATTCTTGCAATATTGATTCTTGCTGACACCCAGGAGAAACAAAAGAGACGTACTGGGTGTCAACAGTTAAGTAGAAGACACATGCTGACAAACAGTGAAGTTTCTATTTTGTGTTTGCCAGTAAAGAAGAAGCCATTGACGTGAACAAAACACAACATACATGGCACACATAAATACAACGTACTTCGGCGAAAGATAAAACGCAGGAAGGCGAAAATTTGGCGAAAGTAATTTTTTTTTTGCGAAAATGACGGATCCCGGATAAAGGAATTTAGATCAACTCCCACGTATTGGAAAACCATGGAAGACCGGGGGGTGACTCCATCAACCTGATGGCTCACAGGAGCGCCGCAGAGCAAGTCTTGCGAAAGAAAGTCTGGTCTGTGCGGAAGAAATGGGAGCTGCTGGGGAGCCACCTGGCGGGAGTGGGTTCCTCGCTGGCGGTCCTCACATAGCGATAGGTTGATGATTCGGATGATTGATCGTTAAGAGGGGAGTGCACTTCTGATTTCGTGGCTCTGGCTGTCTCCTTGGCTTGTAGCACTCCACCTCGGGCCACGACAATCCCCCAGACCTTGGATGTTTGGCGGAAGAACCATTGCCCACCACTTGGCCGAGGCTATTCCCATGAAAAGACGGAGGAAGTGCTGGCCAGATTCCAAGAGTTTGATGCAAGAGTTTTGAGAGACCAGTTGCTTTCAGAAGTGTAGAATGGTGATGTTTTTGGAGAAGATGCTTAGCGATCCAGAAGAACGTGTGAACACCGGAAAAGGCTTGTTTGCACTCTTTTGGCCACCTCTCGCATCGCCTCGCCTGACCTTAGTCCTTCGGTTTCCTAGCTGTGAATCGCTCAACATACGGCTTACACTGGAGGCAAGCTTCGAGTTGCCAAAGCCGTTGGCAGAAAGATGCGGCCTTCCGTTTGAAGGCCTGAAGCGGTCGCTTGTGTGGTCGGTTGAGTCCAGCACGAGCCCCTGAGGCATGCCCCCGAAATGGCAAGTTCCACCACAAAGCTTCTCTCTTGCACCAGGGGTGCATCAGAGATAGACAGTTGAAACCGGAAATGGCCGCAGGCCCACCACTATTAAACCCACTTCTAATTAGCAGCCCTTCAGTTTGGCAAAGAGGTTATTGGATTCCTGCCTGGGAGCCCAAATCTGGAACCCACAAATCCATGGCAACAAAAAAGTTGTGGGACTTATGAGACCCAAGACCTCGGCAGCACCATCCAGGCGCAACGTGGCTGGACGCGGTGAAGGCATTGTGTTCGTCACCTTGCGGGCCGGTGGAGCTTTGGCAACGAGCGGCTGGGATTCGAAGATCCTCAACTAACTCAATTTGGAGATTTGGGAAAATTGCTTCAGCCCTCTAGGAGTCAAGACCCTTTTCCCTCTATGTCAGTGTGCCATGCTATGGGGGAGGTGCATCATCCCATGTTTGAGGCAAAGTGGAGTTGACCAAGGGCTACCGCTGAGAGACGTGGGCAGTGAAGCAAAACAAACGGGATTCCTTGGACGGTGAGGTTGAAGCTCACCCCATCGTTGAATATGTGCACGTGCAGTGTCAAAATTGCGGCCATCAAGTGCCGGACACCTTTCCAGCGGATGAGGCCAGCACACATACGTGTGGAGAGAAATCATTTTTGGGAGAAGCGCTCCAAGATCGAAATCCTTTAAGAGGTATTCAGCAGCTGCAGTCTGAAGTTAGGATAACATCAACATCAAGACTACTGAATATAAGCCAACCATTTCAAGAAGACAAGCGTGTGAGAGGGCCGTATTGTGGAACACTGATGCTGAGATCGGGATGGGTGATAGCTGTTACTGGAGGACGACTGTTCATTACAGTGGATTGAGAGTAGATGGCACAAACCCACACACCCCAAGATGTCCATCTAAACCACCAACCTTGGGGTCCCTTGTGCCATCTACTTTGAACCCACTACACTCCTGAAAACTACCATGGACCCGGGTCGAATGGCACCTCTACAAACCTGTTTTCCGCTACTAAACCAGTTGTTTTTCTGCTACTAACTGTTAATCTTCCAGGGTGTATACGTCCTTTTGTGAAAACCCGTCTCCAGGACCCAAACCTTTCCGAAGAGGAGCCCACAGACAGCGAGAAGCCCTTGGTCCGTGCAGGGTGGTTTCGCGGGCCGAAGGGGCCCGTTGTCTTTGTTTACAGAAGCTTGGATTGTTTGGGGGGTGTGGGCTCGGTTAGCCAAGCAGTTGGCCGACCAGTTGTTGGTTTCTTGGACAGTCACGGCTCACTGGAGTGAAGCCCACCTGGCCCAGTAGAGTTTGGGGAAGGTGTGCGACCTCTTAGACAGTGGCTGCCAACCAGACAATGTGCACCAGGAGCATGATGGAGGTCATGTGAAGCTGAACCTGAGCCCATCCCTTGACCTTGTATGGCAGCAACCTCAAAGCTGAAGTTGAGCAGGAAGAGTCTCTTTTCTGCAATGTTCAGCCTCACTCATTGGTGTTTCACGGATCCCAAGGATGCCCCTCCTGCGGTTGCACCTCACGATGGTTCCGCTCTGTTCATCCGGAGATCACCCTGAACCCCCGGCGCTGGGGGCGGCTTTGCGGCGAGCAAGAGGACGAATGACAAGCCAAACCAATGGGGATCAGGATACTGTAGATAATTTAATGGGATTCTTGATATGTTCAAGAACGATGCTAGGGGCCCCTGGCCATACTACTAGGAGCAGCAAGGACGCTACTAGGGGCTCCTGGCATCGCTACTAGGAGCAAGGACGCCACGAACGGGGCTTCTCAGTTGAGGGCCCCGAGAGTGGCAGTCAACCACGAAACGGTGAAGACTCCGGTGGGCCGGTGGCAGACCGAGAAAGGAGCTGAATGGCCGAGCATGAAAACATCTGAAAATCATACCCTTCGGTGCCGTGCCGTGCCCTCTGTGTCGCAGCGTGAAAGCAGAGGAACGGTATTGAGTTCATTGAGTTCGAGTCTGGCAGCGGTCACTGTTCTGTGTGTGTTTGGGGTCGTCACTATGACAGGTTGCATATAACAGTATAACTCCTTGAGCGTTCCGGGTGCAGTTTGCAGTTTTCCGTCAAGAACATGCTGGCATTATGGAGTTCTTGCGACGCGCACAGGCCAGACATATCAAACAAATACAGGATCTCATTTTGGAGGTGGTTTTGATCATGATTTGGCTTGCCCTCAGTGAGGATTTGAAGGCTTGGTTGGCAAAGTACTTGAGCATTCCGCTTCGCAACTTGCATGCAGAAAAGGGCAATTGAATGCACAAAATACAAGATTCAAGCGTACGTTTCAAGAGCACCTTTCACATTGCGTTTGTTTCTATTGCAACTGCAACGGCATCGGATGCGTTTGTTTTCACATTGTGAGCTTCAGTTGGAGTTTGTCACGGTTACCCAAATCGTTGGGAAAGAAAGGTGGGGACCATACTGTACAGTTTAGTGTTTGGCACATGCCCCAAAAGCCACGCTGTGCCAAAGCGAGCCAGTCATAGAGTCATACTGTTTCACAGGTGCATCAGGCTGGTCCTTGATGTACGTCGGCGCCAACCCTGACAACTGTGAAGGGCTTGGAATGGCATTACGTCAGAGAGCCCTGCGGCCAAGATTTGGCTGGCAGTTGATGCACCGCTGGCCGGGTGCGGGCGCTTGGCTGTAGCATCCTTGGGGCCAACGCATCGCCGGTCGCGATGTATGACAGCAAGGCATATGGGCTAACGCGCTTGCTGGGGATGTGGTGGGCGCCCCTTGTGGGGGAGCAGCGGTTCACAAGTGAGTCGTTTCTCCGTGCGGTTGAAACCGCCCCGACCACCCTCGTTGTCCGTCCAGGACTTTCGTAGAACAGCCTTGAAGAGGGGAGGCCGCACAATTGTTGCTGGCTAGCGGCTAGCAGGTCTCCAATGTCTCCAATGCAATCAGCAGCTAATGCCTGCTGAACAAATACCTGTGAGTCGGCTGCTGTCCATTGCCGTGTCCTGTGTCGTGGGCGGTGGTGTGGTGATGCATAGAAAGGTCACTGAGGCAAGGGCTTTGATTGTGCTCAGCGGCCTAGCAGTGCCGCAGCACCCTTCCTTCGACTGTGTATGAACAAAAGTGTGTGTGTGTGACAATTTAGACTGTACTCCTGGTTGTTCATGCTTATAGGGGTCAGTTCACGCTGCATGCCAGATTGTCGTCCTCCACAACTCACGCAGGGACATTTGTGAGAAGTATAGCACCGACTGAGGCATGTGCATGACAGAAATTCCTTCCTGCGCAGTATAACATTTTAACAGGCTTTAAGCACCTCCTTATCAGAATCATTGCACATCACAGAGATTGTGAGATCGAGAGTCTTGAATCAAGGCGTTTGCGTGCCGTTGGATTGGGACCACGTTTGGACTGAAGTCTTCAACGGAGATCGTTGGGTTCCCTTGGACCAAAACTGTGCCTAGGATGGAAATGGATCGATGGCCAGGGAATGTTTATGATTGTTTATGGGCTCAGGTGGTGCAGGATTGGTCAAGTTACAGCTGACATGGCTGCTCCAAACACCTTGATGCACTGAAACCGGAAAGTTCTTTTTGTGATTCCTGTCGGGATAGTCATGAAAAGAATGTTTGGATCGTCCATGGATAGTCGGATGCCCAGGACCGGAAGGTCAAACATCAAAAAATAGGACAACTCTCAACTCAACTCCTTTTGGAGCTGCGAGGTCTCCAGTTTGCTCACCTCTTGAGGTCTTCACTTTGCGCGACGCCTCCACGAAGGCATCGGCGCTTGGACCCACGTGTTAGCGATCGGCACCCCGGGCAGCGGTGATGTGCTGGAGGCCACGGAAGAGGCGCTGAGTCCCCCACAGCTAGGTCTTTCAAACTAGGTCAGGTCGAGTGTAGTCCAAAGTTCTGAGGAGGGATGAATCGATGACATTATATACATGTTTCAGATGGTTTCAGCAGGTAGAAGAAAATCATCTCAAGTACCCTTTCCCCAATGTGTCGTGTTTTCGTCCTTGTGAGTTGGTAGCATGGTTTGTGAGAGGGTCATGGGTCATGATTTTGGTCCAGGTGACTGAAGCTTACTTGCGTCATGCAGAAGGCAGTGCAGAAGAGGCACGATAGTTGGAACGGGGCAGAGAACCTTCAACGTTGGAAAGGACCGACAGAAACAAAGGTGCATCAGGCTGGTCCTTGATGTACGTCGGCGCCAACCCTGACAACTGTGAAGGGCTTGGAATGGCATTATGTCAGAGAGCCCTGCGGCCAAGATTTGGCTGGCAGTTGATGCACCGCTGGCCGGGTGCGGGCGCTTGGCTGTAGCATCCTTGGGGCCAACGCATCGCCGGTCGCGATGTATGACAGCAAGGCATATGGGCTAACGCGCTTGCTGGGGATGTGGTGGGCGCCCCTTGTGGGGGAGCAGCGGTTCACAAGTGAGTCGTTTCTCCGTGCGGTTGAAACCGCCCCGACCACCCTCGTTGTCCGTCCAGGACTTTCGTAGAACAGAGGCCGCACAATTGTTGCTGGCTAGCGGCTAGCAGGTCTCCAATGTCTCCAATGCAATCAGCAGCTAATGCCTGCGAGTCGGCTCCTGTCCATTGCCATGTCCTGTGCCGTGCTATACCTTCTTGAGTCCTGTTGCTTGTTTTTTTTGTATGGCTTGTGCTTTGTAGTGGGTGATGCAGCCCCATTGCCGGCTTCCCAGGGTGTTTCAAAGAATGTGATTGCACAGTGTTGCACGCATGTTGGCAGGATCATTTTGTTTGTGTGCTTTCCTGGTTGATCTACCAACTTCTAGCTTTCTCAACCCGCAACCAGGTGGAAGCCTGGCGGGTTCAAATCATGGCTGCCAGGGCAGACGCGACTGGACAACAGACCCAGAGCAAAACCTGTGATGGTCACCTTTTGCAGCTGGCCTCCCTCAAGGACTCGAGGTGAAGGGAAATTGTTGACATTGCAAGACGAAGGTTTTGGAATCTCACATTTTTTCTGTATCCTTAGGAAGCACAAAAAAAAAAAGTAAATTACACCAGCATAGACCCAGATAGCTAGGCAGAATCCCACGACCTGTTGACATGCGACTGGCTGGAACAAGAATGTACGCAGCCTGCACAGCCAGCTTACGGCACCTCCAGACCGGTGCGCTTTGCCAGCTGACAACACCGGCAGCGGCGCCAGCACCCGACCAGCACCGGCATCCGGCACCCGGCACCGGCACCAGCAACCTGCCTCGACCACGTGCACAGCCAGCTCACCGCACCAGCATCAACACCGGCACCCGGCACCCGGCCCAGCACCACTCCACCACGTGCGCAGCCAGCTCACAGCACCGGCACGAGCGCCGGCACCCAGCACCAGCAACCTGTCTCGAAAGCGCGCACGGGCAACTCATTGTTATTTGAAGTGAGAATCCTAAAACTCCGCTATCTGGGGAAAACACATGTACACGCTGGAAGACTAGCGTGGACCTTGAAAACATATGAAAACCACTGGTTGGTAGAAAACAATCTTCCAGGGTGCCATTGTCAGGGTCTATGTCAATTTTCGGGAGGGTAGAGATACACACCGTATATATAATCGTATTGTCGTTGGATATAAAAATTGCAAAATCAATTGCATATTTTGGCTCCTTCACTATATGCGGACCATATCCTTCCAATAAATCATACAATTTGTGTTTTTGCAGGACAATGATATTACCTTGATTTTACGCAATATCCAATTAGAATTTGATCAAAAATAATCGGATATATATATATATTATATGTGTAATAATTTACTATATTCTATTATTATATATATATTGTGAAATCGATTTGTTATATTATATTGATTATTTTTTGTTTTGTTTGTTTATATAAATATATTTTAAATACATTTGATTAATTATTTTAAATAAATTTTGATATTGTTTTGTTTGTTTATATAAATATATTTTGGATATATTTGATTAATTATTTTTAAATAAATATATATTTTAATATTATATATTACTAATAAATATATATAAATATTTATTTATATTATATATTGATTTAATTAGGGTTATATGAATTTATAATGAATATTAAAATTAAATATAATATAATTAATATATCTATTTATTTTAAGTTATTATTGATTTTCGATTGGATATTATATATTATTAAAATAATATATTTGTAAAATTGATAAGATTGTTTATTTTATTTTCTTTAGAATAATTTATTTATATATATTAATTAATTTGATATTAAATTTATTGGATTTAATAATAAATATATATAGGTATTTTTAATGAATATGATATGAATTTAAATATTGATATGGAATTTTTTTAATATAATTTTTATATTAATGATAAATATTGTTGGATTTTATCGAATTATATATTTTATTTTGTTGTATGTATATATTTATTGTTATTGAAATATGAATTTATGTTATATATTGTTGGATATATATATATCGAATATATATATTTATATTATAATTAGATTTTTAGATCTATATATGAGCTACGGTCAAAACATACGAAGACTATTTTAGTAAAGAGGGGTAGGTTTGTGCATAAAATCTTGCAAAAGGATAAGGTCTACCTTAAAATCGATAATCCCAGCGCTATATATGGTTATAAGTATGCGACGAATTTAAAATGTTGTAAAATGATAAGGTCCACCTCAAAACCGATAACGTCCATTTTTAATTGAAGAAGAATAAGGAATTTTGACCGTCTCTTATATATTTAAATATTATTAATGCATTTTTGTCTTAGAAAATAACAATAGTAAAATTATTAATATATTATATATATATTTAAATTTAGAATAAATTATTATTAGGGGGTTTTGGGCTTATTATAGGAAGAAGAAATTATTATGGATTCTTGGTCTTTAAAAAAAAATAATTAGGATTTCTTTATTTTATAATATAATACGCAACTATTAGGGCTTTTGATATCG